ATATATATATATATTCAATTTGGGCTTTTAAAATAAGGTTGAAGGCGAACGAAATTCTATTTTAACTAAAATAATACTTCTTCTCATTGTCCATGCATAGGTTATTTGAATTATGCAAACAAATCAAATTCTTTGAACAGTTACCCTGCGTGAGTATAGGCCTATTTCCATGAATCAAAGAGCGGAAAATTGCATTTCTACTTTAAGCTAATTTAGCATATGTGCATTAGTTTCCTGTTCAACCTATTACATGATTTTTTTTCATGTTTGGTGGAACTTGCAATACTTTATGTATGAAATATTATTATAACACCCTATTATCATATTATAATGTTAGAGGAGTTTAAGAGATGTTGCTAAGCTATATGGAACCGAGATATCTTTGCAAAGTGTAGAAGAATACCGTAGAGTTTCTGGAATACAATCCATCAGCTCAACATGCTTCAAAGCTGCAAGAATATCTGCCATACTCATGGATGATGGCATGGATATGATGGATAAAGTGCATGACATAGAATGGCATAAGAGTTTTGTGCCTTTTGTTGGCAGAATCTTAAGAACTGAACGGGTGGCCGAGCGAATCCTTGAGCAAGTGAGATACCTAAACATATTCACTTTTAATTTACATTATATCCCATCATTATTAGGTAGTTTTTTTTTCTTCCTTTACTGGTTAAGGAATCAATATTTGAAAAAAATTTGTTGAAAATTACAATAAAGTTACACCGGAAGAATGTTTAGATAAAATTTTTCTATAATTTTTTTTTTCTACTTTTGATTCTTTACCTAGTGACCTAACGGCACTTATTAGCATTTTTTTTTTGTTTTAGATGTTTGATTGATCTGTTTGTTTTACTTTTACTGGTAAGCATGTCATATACTTATCTTACTCCTTCCTAGGGTTATGTTTTTCTTTACTGGCTTCCATAAATAAAAAATTCCATGTGTGTTACTTTTCCCGTAAGTGATATAATTTTGATGCTTTTTCCTTTATGATATGATTTCAAGCCATTTCCTTTAAGTGCACCCCATTTAATAATTTTCTCAGTCTTAATATTTTTTGTGTGTGGTTCAAATTGGGGGATATGTCTCTGGTCATGCTGATTGTTAAATTATTTCCTCTTTATTTAATTTTCGAATATAGTGAAAGTGTCATTATCTTTTGGATTATTAACCAACTATGAAGTCTATAAGTGAATTGACCATGATCGAGGAAATTAATTTTTTTTTTTTTTGGAAAATTATTCTAAACAAAACCTATGAATCATGTCCAGTGTTGTTACTTGTTGGTTAACAAGAGAAGCAACAATGTTTCCATTGCATATTTTCTTATATTTGATTTCATCTTTCTCATTGGTATTGTATTCATATTCTGCCTCTTAGTCATTCACCTATTTTTCTATTTTATTTTATATTTATATTTGATGCTTCCTGAAGGGCTTGCATAATGGATCTCCTTGGACAATCGATTCATTTACTGAGGCATATATCTCAAAGTTGAAATCATATCCTTTACATGTCACTTTACACAAAATACAAAACAAGTTCTTAGCTTCATAAAAAGTATAAAATAAATCAATGTTTTAGCTAGGTTCCTTAGCATAACTGTTACAGTTGTTAATGAAATCTATGCATTGAAAAGCATAGCTGCATACTATGGTGGCCTCGAAATCAATTTAAACGTGGCTAAAACAGATGCTGAGGAGGATCTGAGACAGTTGTTAAATGGTGAGAACAATATGCAATTTGGTTTTGTTTAGGGTATTTGATACATGCAACCCAAAGGGACAAGGCCCAGATGAGGAGTTCAATACATCTAGGCCTAAAGCCCAAACGTGAAAGGAAACGACCCAATTGGCTTAAAAATTATATTTAAAAAAATATATATAGTTGCTGGCAGCCCATTTGTTAGCTTGGTTCCTAATATAACCGTTTGAAATCCTTGTTTTGCTACTTCGTTTTCTTCTTTTATCCATTAGAATAATTTAGTCTATTTTATCCTTTTGCTTTTAATATCATATTTGTATTTAAGGGACCTTTGGTCTTTTATGAAAACAAGAAGAAATTATTCAGTAGCTTATAGTTTTCCTTAGTTATATCAACTAGCATTTCTATTGAATCGTATTGGATAAGAGAAATCTTATCATTAGTGCTTTCAATTTTTCTCATGCCTCTTAAATCCACTAAGGACATGGAAGAAGCTCTCCATGCCTTAAATGAAAAGCTCTCAGCTTTTCAACTTCAGCAAGATTCACAACATGAACAACTCCGTTATGAGGCGCTTACATGAGCTATTCATGGTTTATTAGAAAAAGTTCATACTATTCCATCTCCAGCTCCTCGTTTTCCGGACACACCCCCAAATACAAACCTTTCCTTTAACCATAATCCACCTCCTACCTCCTGTCCTTTTCCTCCTCCACCACCCGCATACAACGTTGCACCTGATGGCTCTATATATTATCAGACTCCTCCTCCACATTCAAATGTTCAATTCTATTCACCTTCCTTACCTCCATCACTGCCACCTTTTCCGCCTCCTGCCAATATCCGACCGCCCAAAATACAGTTGTTACCCTTTGATGGTTCTGAACCATTAGATTGGATTTTTCAAGCCGACCAATTTTTTTCTTTTTATCAAATACCTCATGAGCAACGTATCGATATGGTGTCTTTCTATATGAAAGGTGAAGCCTTATCATGGTTCAAATGGATGCATCAAAATCAACAACTTCACGATTGGGAATCTTTTATCCAAGCAATAGAGGCTCGCTTTGGACCATCTGCTTATCAAAATCATGAAGCAGAACTTCTCAAACTCAAACAAACTTCTACTGTTGCAGAATTTCAACAACGTTTTGAGAAATTATCCAACCGTGTTTTTGGTCTATCGCCGGTTACATTGCGTAATTGTTTTATTTCTGGTCTTACCCCAGCTATCCAACATGAATTAGCGATCTTACGACCCGTTACAGTTCACCAAGCAATGGGTCTTGCTCGTCTCGTGGAAGACAAGTTACGAGATTCTAAACCCAAATTTTCTTCTCGATTTTCCCCTCCACCAACCACCGATATCCCTTCTTCCGTGTCGCATCCTTCTTCATCATCTCACGCAACACCCACACCCTCTTTCCCCATAAAAAAATTGTCCAATGCCCAAATGCAAGATCGTCGTAGTAAGGGTCTTTGTTTCAACTGTGACGAAAATTTTTACCCAGGTCATAAATGCACCCAAACACAATTTCTCTTACTTCTCGCAGAGGAGGAATCCCATATTGTCGACCAACCATCAACTCCTTGTGAGGATATCAACACTATGCTTATTGAAAATCAACCACTTCCAATACATTTACAACTTTCACCACAAGCACTAACTAGTCAACCTTCCCCTCAGACATTGCGATTTAAAGGCTCTATTGATGGGCTTGGTGTCACTATTCTCATCGACACTGGTAGTTCCCATAACATCATGCAACCCAGGATTGCCCATTAACGCCAACTCTCAATTACTCCTACCCCAACTTTCCCAGTTATGGTGGGTAATGGTGCTCATATTTTCTGCTCCGGTTTATGCTCTAATGTGCCAATCACAATCCAAAAACATACATTCCAGGTTCCAGTTTATTTGCTCCCTATACAAGGGGCCGATATCGTATTGGGCATCGAATGGTTACGCACCTTGGGGCCCATTGTCTCTGATTTTTCAATTCTATGCATGACATTCACCCACCAACAATCATCAATTACTCTCACTGGTGAACCGCCTAACCTTCATACCACTTCTTGTCAACAACTTTGCCACCTTTTTCACATGGATGTTATTGATTCTTTACATCTTTTATCCTTCCATCCTATTTCCCAACCACCCCTAGAACCAAGTCCACAAATTTTATCTCACCCTGATCCACAAATACAAACCCTTCTCCACCAATTCAATTCCATATTTGCCAAACCCACTTGCTTACCACCCCCTCGTTTACATGACCATCATATTAATCTTTTTCCCAACTCTAATCATGTCAATGTTAAACCATACCGATACCCACATGCTCATAAAGATGCCATGACTCTCATCATCAATGAATTACTTCAAACCGGTCTAATACGTCCCAGCACAAGTCCTTTTTCCTCACCTGTTCTATTAGTTCGAAAAAAAGATGGAACGTGGCGATTTTGCGCTGACTATAGAGCTCTAAAGGCTATCACTATCAAAGATCGTTTTCCTATCCCAACCATTGATGAACTTTTAGACGAACTAGGAGGAGCCACTATCTTTTCTAAGATTGACCTATGCTCCGGCTATCATCAAATTTGTGTTCACCCCGATGACATACACAAAACAGCTTTTCGCACTTGGGATGGCCATTATGAGTTCTTAGTAATGCTTTTTGGGCTTACTAATGCGCCTTCAACATTTCAAAATGCCATGAATGACCTATTGCGACCATATTTATGGCGTTTTGTTCTAGTTTTCTTTGATGATATCTTGGTTTTTAGTTCTTTTGTTCGTGATCATTTACATCATTTACAAATTGTTTTCCAATTATTATAGGATAACAAGTTTTATGCTAAAGCGGCTAAATGCGTGTTTGCTGTTCCCACAATTCAATATTTGGGTCATGTTTTATCTACTACAGGCGTTGAACCTGATCCTGAGAAGTTATCCACCATAGCACATTGGCCCACTCCTACATTTCTCACCACACTCAGGGGTTTTTTGGGATTAACGGGTTTTTATTGTCGTTTTATACGACATTATGCATCCCTCGCAGCGCCTCTCACGGATTTATTAAAACTTACTTCTTTTGTTTGGAATTTACAAGCCGAACAAGCATTTTCAACATTGAAGGATGCCATCACTAAGACTCTTGTCTTGCACCTCCCAGATTTTACAAAATATTTTGACATTATTACGGATGCTTCTTCCGTGGCAGTAGGCGCTATGCTCTACCAAGATCAACATCCCATTGCCTTCTTTAGTAAGAAACTTTGTTCTAAGATGCAACAAGAATCTATTTATGTTCGAGAGATGCACGTGGTGACTGAATCTGTAAAAAAATGGAGACAATATCTTATTGGCCGACATTTCAAGATTTTCACAGATCAAAAAAGCCTTAAATATTTTTTGACTCAAGCGTATCACACGCCCGAACAACAACGTTGGGCTACTAAACTTCAAGGCTTCAATTTTGATATTATTTACAAACCTGGTAAAGAGAACCTTGTGGCGGATGCTTTATCACATTGTCACCAAGATAACCTTCCAAGTGCTATTCTTCATGCCTTCTCCACAACTGTTCCTTGCATTTTTGAGGATCTCCGAACTTTCTACACCAGCAATGCAGGCTCCGAACTCATCAAGGAAAAAATTGCATCATCAGATCATTATTTACTATTCAACAAGGCCTTTTGTATTATCGAGGAAAGATCTTTGTACCTGACTTCCAGTCCATGCGCTCCAACTTTCTTCATGAGTTCCATTCTACACCCCTTACTGGTCATTCCGGTGTCAAACCCACGCTCGCCCGAATTTCGGCCTCCTTCTCTTGGCCTCATCTTCGCAAGCATGTTCAAGCCTTTATTGCCGCATGTAAAACCTGTCAACAACATAAATCACCCTTGTTAGCTAAACAAGGTCTCCTACAACCACTACCAGTTCCATATCAAGCTTGGGAAGACATCAGTATGGATTTTGTTACTCACCTACCCTCCTCTGCTCATCACACAGTCATATGGGTCATTGTGGATCGTCTCACTAAATATAGTCACTTCATTGCTCTTCCTTCTTGTTTCACTATTGCCAACCTCGCCCAACGCTTTGCGGTGGAAATATTTCGCTTACATGGTGTCCCTAAAAGTATTGTATCTAACCGCGATCCCATTTTTCTCAGTAATTTCTGGCGAGAGAGTTTTAGGCTCCAAGGTACCACCTTGAAATTTTCTACCGCTTACCATCCAGAAACGGACAACCAAAACTGAGGTCGTCAACTGCTGTCTTCAATCCTACCTGCGTTGCTTTGCCAGAGACCATCCTAACCACTGGTTCAACCATCTTCACCTAGCCGAATGGTGGTACAACACATCTTGGCACTCATCCATAAAAATGAGCCCTTTTAAAGCTTTATACGGCCGCGATCCACCTTCCATACTCCATTATCATCAACAACACACTCATCTTCCTGCGATCGGGTCTACTCTCCTTCAAAAACAAAGCATCCTTACTTAGTTAAAAAAGAACCTTCATCGGTCCCGTCAAATCATGCAAACTCAAGCTAATAAGAAGCGAACCAACATCACCTTTTTACCGAATGAATGGATTTGGCTGCGTTTACATCCTTACCGACAACACTCAATTACTTGCCGCCGTTCGCAAAAGTTAGCCCCCAAGTTCTATGGACCATTTCAAATTGTCCGTCGTATTGGTGAAGTTGCGTATGAGCTTGCTCTTCCATCTTCGGCGCGCATCCATAATGTCTTTCATGTTTCCTTGCTGCGACGCTTCATCGGTGATCCTCCACAAGCAACACCGTCTCTTCCGTCTCATTTATTTTCTGGTCCTAAGGAAGATACTTCTGAACCATCCCTCTCAGTTCCCAACACTTCACTTCCCTCTTCACTTAATACTTCCACCACATCTACCTTCATAAATGACGTGCCAGCTGGATCCTCCCTTTTAAATTCCGCCGTTGATAATTCCTTGATCTGTGCCTCACCTTCTCCAATTAAATCACCACGGTTCTCTACAAGCACAATTCCAACCAATTAATTAAATGCCACGTCCACTCACCTCGAAACTACTCCAGATACTTCCAACGGCTTTGAGGACAAAGCCAATTCTGATGGGGCGAGTATTGATACATGCAACCCAAAGGAACAAGGCCCAGATGAGGAGTTCAATACATCTAGGCCCAAACGTGAAAGGAAACGACCCAATTGGCTTAAAAATTATATTTAAAAAATATATATATAGTTGCTAGCAGCCCATTTGTTAGCTTGGTTCCTAATATAGCCGTTTGAAATCCTTGTTTTGCTGCTTCGTTTTCTTCTTTTATCCGTTAGAATAATTTAGTCTATTTTATCCTTTTGCTTTTAATATCATATTTGTATTTAAGAGACCTTTGGTCTTTTATGAAAGCAAGAAGAAATTATTCAGTAGCTTATAGTTTTCCTTAGTTATATCAACTAGCATTTCTATTGAATCGTATTGAATAAGAGAAATCTTATCAGTATTCTTATTCATCCCTCTGTATTTTCAGCTGGGAAGCCCTTCTTTCTACTAAATTCCAAAAATCTTGTAAGCTACATCTTCTTGCAAAGTCTGGAAATTGCTCTATCATATGACTTGCCAATGCAGATACACACAGGGTAATAGATGGATTTTAATTGTTTGATACTTTTACCATATTGATATCCAAACATTTTTTGTTAAAATTTACAATAAAAGCTTTGGCTTAAATTTGTATGTGTTTGGTTTCATGATCGAAAGTATTACAACTGATTTTGTGTCCTGTCAAACATTTTCCTTCAAATCTCAGTTTAACTAAAATTAATTAAAAAGTGCCTTTTGCATTATTTTGAAAAATTATACCAAGTTTTACATTAAACTTACTCTCAAGATTCAAAATTCAAATATATATCCAAACATAAATAACTTTCATTCAAAATCAAATTTTCAAACACTCACCTGATGAATTCACATAGTTCGTGCCTTTTGTACTTCTTGGAATTTATTATCAAACATCTCCTTATAAAAGTCAAAGCTGTATTTTTTTACATATATCAAGACACACATCACCATGATATTCTACTTGATTATACCTCTTACTTTTATCTAACACTCTAAACTTTTCTTTCTGTAACTAGCTTTGGGGATAGATTTTTGGATTTGAGGAAGTCTAATCCTCTTCATTTGCGTGCAATTCTTGAGGACAAGAGATATGCAAAGTGTCGATTTGTTCTTTTACATGCATCCTATCCATTCTCAAAGGAAGCATCGTATCTAGCTTCTGTTTACTCTCAGGCAAGCATTTTATGTCTCATGTAGTGACTTGTATTAATAGATCAAATTTTTTATTAATACAATCTTCTCCTTCAGGTTTACCTTGATTTTGGCTTGGCAATTCCAAAGCTTAGTGTTCATGGGATGATTTCTTCGGTTAAAGATCTAATAAATCTGGCTCCATTAACTAAGGTGACAATTTAAGCAATCCAAATAATTATTCACCGAGAATATATGGAATTTTTCAGGTAAACATGCCACAGATTAAGAACTTAAATAAAAAAATAGGTAAAATTACATTTTTTGTCCATCTATTTTTATCAATCTGTAATTTTAATTTTTCTATTTTAAAATAAAGATATTTAGTCTCCCTAATTTTATAAATACAGAATTTTGATTCTCTGATCAAATTAACATCTACTAATTTTTAAATTTTAATATTTACTCATACTTTAATGATGTAATATTTGATAATATGACATTTGAAATGAAAAAAAAACTAAAAAAATGTAATAAGATTTTTATTAATAAATAAATATCAATCACTTGTAAAAATAAATATAAAGAAGAAAAAAATTATTTTTTTATTTTTATCTTTATATGTCACACTGATAATACATCATGAAAAAAAAATTAAAATTTAATAATCAACAAATATCAAATTAATAGTATAACAAATATCAAATTAATGATATGATCAAAATTTTATATTTATAAAAATTAAAAAAAAATCAAATATCTTTATTTTAAAATAAAGAAATCAAAATTATGTATCAACAAAATAGAGTCACAAATAAAAATATAATTTAACCTTAAAAAAATTAAGTATGTGACATATCTAATTAATATTAGAAGTTCACAAAATCGATCCGCCCTACTCCATCTTTTTTCACCTACCTCTTCGATCAAAATATAGGTATAATGATTGCTGAGATTAAAATTTAAATATAAATAGAATTTGAGCTCTTTGTTCTCCATCCTAGTTGATACTGGCAACTCTCAAAATATACGTCTAACTTTGAAAATAAATGTGAACTTTTTTACTATTTTCTTAAAATTCCCTTGCTTTTAATTTCAATATACTTAGGTACAAATGTGTTTGAAATGAGGCAATTTGTGAAATATATTGAAATAAAAAATGTAGTTGTTTAAAAGTTTGATATCCTTTATGGTTAAAAGTGAACTTTATGATTAATCAAATGATATATGTAAATAGGGTGATAAGTCTCACAATAGTAAATTTTGCATTGCAGGTGATGTTCAGCGCGGATGCTTATACATTTCCTGAAACCTTCTACTTAGGTAGGTTAATCTCTATTGCGACACCCATATTAATTAGAAGAATATGCTTAAGTACTTCGTTGTGATTGTTCCAATTTTTCATGTTTTTCTTCTCTTTTACATACATTACCACCGTGAAGTGTACCTTATCCTTTCTGTCATGAAATATATGTACTTCATGTCTATATTGAAGTTATAATGCCTTGCTTAGATCAGCTAAGTAACCACGTCTTGGAAAGTCAAATAATCATTATGTCTGGCTATTTGTGGTAAGGTGAAACTAATAATTATTATAGCAAACTTTATAGTTTGTTGGATGCAAGAATTACACCTAGAGATCTGTTTTGTAGCAGAAGCACGTACTACAACTCAATTTGTAAAGAGGATAAGATAGTGTCTTTTTTTTTTTATTGGTAGTACATATTCTTAAACAGTTAAATGAAGAAATATGCGAGAGAAAGCGTCCAAATTAACAAAATAAAATAAAATTCACTCATAGTGTTCTCTGGCCTCTATCAATTAATTATATTAAATTGTTTCATTATATTTAAGGTCATTTCCTAACATTTATCTTTCATACACTAAAGTTGTAAACTCCATGGAACATGCAAGTGTCAAGTCGTAAGCACATATGTTTATGCTTGCAACTTATGTGACTTTGAATATTTTTATTTAAGTTCACAAATCCAAACAGTTAGAATCATGTCTTTAGTCTATGGTGTTATTGCTGCAAGTTCTTATATTTTTACCTTGAATATTTCACTCTTTGTTCGAAAATTTCCTCCTCTCTGTACTCGTTTAAGGTGCAATAACTACAAGTTGAAATCACATAAGTTTTTCTTTCATAGGTGCAAAGAATTCTCGTGAAGTTATTTTCTCAGTTCTACGTGATGCATGCATTGACGGTGATCTCTCAATTCCTGAGGCCGTGGAAGCTGCAAAAGACATATTTGCACGAAATGCAATCCGCTTCTATAACATTAGTTCGGCCAAAAGTGCCCCTTAATCAAGGAAGCACAAACACTTCAATAAAGTAATCATTTTTGTTGCGTAATTGAATGTGTATTCATGCTGAATACTTTGAAGTTTGAATATTATTACTTCTAGCGGCATTATAATATAATAATTAAACAATTTGTGTTATTATTATTATTGAAAAAAATTCAAGTCTCACATTGACTATAAACTAGAAATTAAGTAATATAAAATATTATAAGTGGAGAACAATCATTATCTTACAAGCCAGACTCAGGTTATCTACCATTTATCTGCATACTAAGTCTAATAGTGTTAAACGTGATGGAGTATATTAGAAAATACACAAGTTATTCACATTGCCTAAAAATTAGGCAATTAAATAGTATATAAGGTAAAGATTACTCTCCACTTATATACTCTTTAATTGTTTTATCTCTAGTCGATATGAGACTTTTCACTGTTACCTATAAAATGAAGATTAAAAGAAGTTTAATGAATAGAAATTTCATCATCTTACGGAAAAAAAAAAAAACTTTAAGAACTTTAAACCTTATTTGGATGATATTTGTACACACTTGAAAACTTATTTATTATCTTTATCGAGCGTTATATATGCCCTTGATTTGTAAAGTCACTTTAATGAGTATTTCCTTTATATTTGTAAGTAATCTTAGGTAGAAATTACAAGTGTAGAGCTTTAAGATGTCATGAAAAATGTTTGTAATAAGATCACGTTGTTGTAGTTTGAAGAGATAGTAAACACTTGGTTGTAAGAAGGTTGAAATTATAGTGAAAAAAACCTTCGTGTTGAAAAGATTAGATGTAGCTCCTTTGAAGAGTAAACTAATATATATCTCAGTGAGCATTTTTTTTCCTTATCCTCTTTATCATATTCCCTTACTAAAGAACTTTTTTGTGGCACTATACGTTTAAAGTTAGTTTTACGAAATTTTTTAAAATTGTCATACACATTTCAACTCTCTTTTCTTGTGTACTTGTTTTACTTTAAGGACAAAAATAACAGAAAAAGTTTAGAGATTAAGACGGGACAAATTGTTGCTTAGAAAAAGTGAAATTTGAAAACGGGTCTAAAAACATATTTAACATCATTATTTACTTAAATATTCTAGCCAATTAAATTTAAAAGACTTTATAATTAGACTAAAGTATGAGTTTTTAACTATAGAGATTTTTATAAAAGTTTTATTTATTTATTTATTTTTACTTATAGAAATTGAATTTGACACTAAAAACTTTATAAGTCACACACTGCTCAGTTAAGTTGACTCCCATGATCTAGTTTTGACCTAATTTATTTCTTAAAAAAGTTTGATATGACTTTGGGCTTATATAGTCTAAGTCATAGGTCTCTTTCCAACATTTAATCAATTTTTATCCTTAATTGTAATTTTGCATATGACCGTAAAAAAATCTTTATTTAGTTAGTGTGTTGTATATTATTTTTTGATTTTCCATTTACTATAAAAGCTAAATAATAATGGGTACAAGTTTCGTGTATTGATCAACATATGTAAAGTAATGAAGAAGAAAAAATAACACAGAAGTATGAACATGTGATATGAAATATGAAAATACACGCAATTATAAAAATATTAGGCTTAATTATGTTTTGAATATATATTTTTTTCCCAAATTTAAAAGTCATGTTTTTAGTCTTCATAATAGCAAAATATGGTCATTTTAGTTTTTAAATTTAAAATTTATCTTTTTAATCCTTGTAATTTTAATAAAATATTATTTTAGTTTTTTATTATCACTAAAAGCATAATTAACAGTAACAAATTAGGACAATTATGTAGTATCAATTAGTTTAATATGATGCATTAACAAAAATGCTAATAGGAGAATTTTGTGTAACAAATTGAGTTTTATTTGACAAATTTACCAACAACATTATTTGAGAAGGGGGACTAAAATAATAATAAGAAAATTATATTTTAGAGACTAAAAATATAAGTTTTAAATTTGAGAGACAAAAAAAGTATATATAAAAACTAAAACAATATTTTTAAAATTACAAGAATTAAAAATACAAGTTTTAATTTTAGAAGACCAATAAAAATAATTACCCTAAATTTGAAGGATTAGAAGCATAATTAAGCAAAAATATCACTAATAAAGATTTGTTTTTGGTTCTACAGACTTTGCAAGTATTGTTTATATGAATTTTTGACAACTTTAAGCATTTTATTGTCTTTCGAATGACTTAATCTCTTAATTTACCTCCCTTCAGAAAACATGTCATTCTTAATTTGTTAAAATTTTAAATTCAAATATATATATATATATATATATATATATATGATCAAAATTATTATAATTAGTTTTAATTTTAAATGTCATCTTAAATTATATGGTCAAAATTCACTCGGTCTAGTAGTGCTTTTGGTGTATCGATCTTACAGCAAATAGGATAAATTTGTTCAAATCTTCCCATAGCAACAAGAAAATACTGCAGATCCACGAGTACTCAACGATCAATACATATTCTTTTTCTAAATAAAGTAGAATGGTTAATTATTCGAACAATAGTGTTTTTAAAGTGTTTCTTCTATGAGAGAAATTTTATGAATTTTTTTTAGTATTTTACTCTTTAATTTATCATTTTTTATATGTATTTTTAAATTAAATTTTAATATTTTAAAAAATTGTAAATAGTAAAAATAAATTTTATATTACAATATGAATTATTTATTTTAATTACAAAATATAAATTATACGTTAAATATTATCTATTTAAAATTTCAATTATAAATAATTTATTATATTAAAAAATATTTATTTAACATAAATTTAAATTATATGAAACCAAAGTTTATACCGTACAATGAACAAATTAAAATCCGAAATAATAGCAAATACGAATGACCATAAATTTCTTTGTCCCGAAAGGCTTGAACCATAAAGCTCAGAATTTTAAATGCAAACAACGACGAATGTTCATCGCGAAGAAATCAGCAGAATGTAAATTATGCTCCAACAAGTCTTGCATAGAAACACAAGTAGATCAAAATCGGTGTATGAGTTGCTTGTATGCATCCTCGTTCTTCGAGTAATAGTCGATTTCAGCCTGAGAATAAGTCACATTAAGCATCAAAACTATCACCTTGGCTAAGCAAATCATATTGTCGTAGAAAAAAGAAGTTAATAGCAGACATATATATCACCTTGGCATAAAATGGTACTTTGTGCATTGGTGCATTTCATGTAAAATATAAAAAATAAAATAGATAATAAAAATAATTCATGTTAAATATGTTTGAATAATTAACCATTAGAGAATGTGAAGGGTTTTAACTGATTATTTAAAGAGTGTGAAATGTTGAAAAATAAAATTACGAGAAAATGAAAAGAAAAAAAAAAGCTAAATAAAAAATATGGGAAGTAAAAAAGTATTTTAAAAATTAATGATAAAATAGTCGATAAAATGTATACACTAAAAAAAAATATCATCCTTATTAATTAGTATAAATTAAAATAGTTATTTTGAACAAGAGTGTTTTTAAAAACTATTATTTAAAGATGATATTTTTAACTATTTTTTTTCAATAAGAACTTTTCTTGTAAGACTATAATGTTTTTAATTTATTCTTTTTATTTTTATTTATAGGTTAAATTTTAATATTTTTTAAATAAATTATCAATAATTAAGCAAGATAAAGCATGATTAAGCCCTAGACAGTTTGATGCTGGAAAGAATTTTAAGAACAGATAAAATTCATTCCGAAAAACATGCTTTCAAAAAAAATCAAGAAAAAAAGACTCGTTTTCACCTTTTCTATTTTTCTTTATTATATCTGAAAGAAGCAAAGGCAAGTCGCAATTAAAAACTATCCAGGAGATATTACAACCCATTAAAGCCTGTTAGTCTGTTACTATATCTCTACCATGTAACTCACTAGTTACCCAAGTGTGAAAGCATTTTATATCATAAGGAATTATAAATTGAAAAGCATCTAAACCAAAATCATACCTTTCGAACTGCTTTTATGGCAGCTAGAAACTTGTCACTGATGAAGTCCTTAAGGAAGTCATCCTTTTGGAGAGCATCCAAAGATTCAGAAAGTGATGCTGGCAATCTCTGATGGATTTCCGGATTTGGATTTGCATCTGTATCACACATGAAATGACAAGTTCATTGTTTGATCGATATTTATATAGACTATAGAGTACTGATGAAAACTATATGTACCACACAAAAATTTATGCAACCATTATAAAGAACACAAAAAACTAGCAAATTGTTAATCTCAATGATACTGAACTCGATCTCTTTAAACAAAATTTCGAATTTGAGTCATGTAGATTGAAAAAACATGATTGGGATGAGAGATCACATTAAACATAGTCAGCTAAGTTCTCTTATGAATATTCCTTCTTGAGATTCTTAAATTAACTTAATGGTGATGCTTGGCCAGCATAACTAAGTTATGCCAGCAATAGAAGAGCATAATGGTGAAGTTGCTTACAATATTTCAGAAAGAATCATAATATATATAATGTTACATTAAGTTAATACGAACTAACATAAAATAACTAATTATTTGAACATCGTATAAGCTCATGGTTGATATTCTAATCAAACACTATTCACAATGGATGCTGTTAAACAAAATATAATCAAGGTTTATATGATCTTACCAACAGGTTCAGGGAGAGAAAGATGCCTACGAAGGCCATCAACGCCAGCAGCAATTAAGGCAACTAAGCTCAAGTATGGATTTGAAGTACCATCTAATGATTTCACCTCTAAGTTGTTCACTAGACCATCAGGAGTTCCAGGTGGAGCTGCAGCTCGCAATGGAGCCTCCCTATTTTCATTTCCCCAGAAATGGTATGCACCAACGCATGTGTTGGGTCGTATTCGATCATAACTGAAGAATTTGAATAGCGTAGTGAGAAAACATATAACAGCATAATTGTAAAAGTAAATAATGGAAGAAGCTCAAAAGATGATCACTAGCTTATATTTTACCCATTTTTAACTGAGTTCAGTTTCTATACTTTAATGTAAAAAAAATTATAATGTCAATCAATCAAAACTCAGTTCTTTTTAGATACTGGAGCAGAATGGAACAGTGTGAAAACATCTAACCATTGGGCTTGTGCCGCCTGCCCATTGGGTTATGACTAAGAGCATGTTTGTTTTTTCGTTTGAGAGACTCAAATCACGTTTTCATTTGAAACCTTCAATTTGTTGCTTCTGAGTAAACAAAGCTTTGAAATGTGTGCATGTGAATTATAACGTGTATCCAAAATGCTATAAGTGGGGTGAGGATAGCTCCCCACGGTATGGTACAGGGGTAATATTGTAATTTTCTTCTGATATATAATAGAAACAGCCACTTGATTCTTGAGGACATAGGTACACTTGCCTTGTCTATCTGTTTTATTCTACAAATTTAGAATTTGGTTGTTATTGCTAAAATTATACATGAAGTTTTGTAGTTGGATATTATCAATGTATAAACTAATTACTTTTTAACTTAAGGTTAGCAAATATACAAACTTTGCATATGTATTTTACTATAATGCTTTTGTAGATGAAAAAAAAAAATCCTAGCCCTTCACGTACGTAACAACTTAAGCTTCATTACGCTAACAAAATTAGTGATATAATGCCATAACATATATAAAACCAGCTTTTCTCAAAAGAGCAAGAATAAGATAATAAGAGAGCAACCTGTTAGGGAGTGGCGCTACAATTGCCAAAATTGAAGGAAGATGAAGTAGAATTCCAGCCATAAATTCCTTTCCCAGAGTTGATATTCCATGCTTAGATGATCTATCAGATGCCATAAATACATTTTGGCCATTGCGCCACAAGCTAAGATGAACATGGGATCCCGAACCCAAATCATCTAATGAGAACCTTCAATTTGACGAGAGAAAACTTTATTACTTCAAAATTTTGAGCTTTAAGAAAACATTACACTAGAAGCAATAGATAAGGTTCATCAGCTGTAATTAAGTTTTATAAAGTAGAGTCTATACATACTCCTGTGTAATAGCATGTGCCTGTTTACGTTAAGCATTGATTGTAAATTTGTTTGGGTATATTAAAGTGGTAGTAATAGAAACATTTCTGAAGATCAACTATTTATTGAAGGCTATTGGTTCTTGCTCAAATATTGTTAGAATAATATATTCAAATCAGGAGGGTATTTTTATCTACACGACCAGGATCAAAGAGGAACAAACATGGGCTTCTATAGTTGAGGGATAGAGTAGAATGCATTTACAACATCACAAGACAATTATGTCCACATGGTGTCAAATATGCTGGTAAAGTCTTCAATGCAGGTTTAAGGAGCAAAAATTGATTCTCCTTGGTCCAAAAATCTGAATTACATAGACAGCATATTGATATAATCAAACCAACCAATAACAATCTTTGCCACTTACTTTGGAATAAAAGTTGCCAGCATTCCATGCTTTCTAGCGATTGCCCTAACAACTTCACGGGTGTAAACTAAGTAGTCTGCTGCTTTAGTACAAATGGTATATCCCAAAACCAGCTCAAATTGACCTTTTCCACACTCACCATGTATCTACAGTAATATAAAAACGATAAGTTCAAAAAATGGACCACATGTGACAAAGTGATAAGTAGAAAAGAAGCTTAAAGCAATGTCTTCAAACATATGCTAGTGAGAATGATCCTTCTAGGGACCTTGGCCATGCTTAAACAGAATTGATTCATGTTTGTTGGGCTTTTCAATGCTTACATTCAGTTTTAAGATTATTCTGTTTTGGTGGTGTCCTGGTAATCACTGTTACTTCTGAGGTTGTCATTTGGTTTAAGTTCGAAGTAATTTTTGGAATTATTTATGTGAAAGCAATTTTCAGAAGATAAAAATAGCATCCAATGAAAACCATTCAAAGCCATATCATATGTACATTTACAATTGATCATTTCACATTACCTGTTCTACTGAAATTCCCAAGGAATGAAGAGCGACAGCTACTTCATGAAATACAGGTGAAGCAGCATCAAATGATGATGAGGAGCAGTATGGATTCGAGTCAAACGGTACCCATTCCTCTTTCCCTTCCCTGAAATATTTTTTTTCCACATTCTTAACAAATCGCCACATTGAATTGCACTATTTAGATCACAAAATAGATAATATCATATATCATACCTTGAGATGTTCTTCAAGAGAACAAATTCATTCTCAAATCCTGCTTTCATTTCCTGAAAGTGGAAACACAGGAAAAGTTAAACACCGTCGTACTTCCCAACAGATAAGGTAAACTCTGTTTCGTACCAAGTCAAATTCATCTTTCAGAATTTTTGAAGCTCTTCTTAAGGCTTCTCTTGGGCAAAAATCCCAAGCTTCACCAGGTTTAATGTACATATCAGCTAAAACCATTTCCTCTTGCTTTTTCCTATACAAAAGAGAGATTCATTAGATAACCAAATTTGAACTGTCTTCTCGAGAAGATATTTCTGCAAAACAAAAAATCCTACACCTTAAGAAACTTCCGTGAAGGGAGACAAGTTCTTGATCCATGCAATTGCTATTTACTTAATAAATATGAAAAATTGGCAACAATCCAACACACAAGTATCTAACGGAAAGAAGAAAAAGAAATAAGAGACTTGCACAACATGATAAACAGATCAATGATGCTAAATTGAAATTAGAAAACAGAAAGAAATGAGAGGGAAGTCGGTGGGTGTACCGTTTTGAGGACTTTATACAATTTATAAAGACTTAAAACAACTACACATGGCATAAATTCCCTACCCCTGAAAAAAAATATAAGAAAGAAATCTACGTATAATAAATATTGAACTAAGTAGCAGTGCAATTGTAACTCAACTATAATTCAACTATAGGGGGGCCTAAGTAACAATTCAATTGAAATTCACTGTATAGATCCCTTTATTTGAAGGGCAGAAACAATATATTTTCCTTTCATTTTTTCATTCTTATTAATTTTAATAGGGATATTAGAAATTTACATAATATTATGTTTGATAACTTGAGAATCAATAGCAAAACAAGTTCAAATTATGAAAGCTCAGATATCCTCTTAAGGATGATACTATTACCATGGGATTCTCCTCATTGTAGACAAATCAGGTATTAATCTTGTTTCACCAACTGCATTTAGACCAGACCCTTTGGCAGGTCTACCGATTAGAGAAGAGAATGCCATAGTCTCAACTGCTAAACCAACCCCATTCTTTGCAACAGAATCAATGAAACGCTTTTTAGGAATCGCCTGAAATAAAATAACAGCATCTCAAAATGTAATTTAAATAAATAATTCCTAAACTGTCTTCGTTGATCTTTTATGGGCCTGGAAAGTCAGAAGTTTAAATGCCTAACAGACATAATTTTTTGCAGTATTCTGTATAACAAATTAGAAAATGTAAGAAAGGACAGCAGGAAGTCAGGAAAACTTCTCTGTGACAAGTATCCTAAGCATCATAGATGTGTCTACAAGTCCAGTAAGAGGTTATTTAAACCTGCTACATGACAATAGTGACTGCAATAGCATCCATTCAACATTCTTCCTGACTTCTGTTCACTGTGTAAACTATACAATTATAGTTTACTATTTTCAGGAACTTGATCAATCTATTCTAACATTTTGGCAAATTTCACAATGACAATAGACAATTATTATCAAACATATCTGCAAAGATAAGATGCAGCTAAATTTTTATAGTTTTCATAATTTCTTCTGGAAGACAGAATGGTAAGGTGCAACTGACATGTTATGTATTGATGCAGAACAATAGCAAATCTTTTTCATTTGGTACATTTCATTTTTATTTATTTCCCATACTAATATGATATCTAAGAAGAAGAAAAATGCAATCTACGATATACAGCATGATTGATGTGAGAACCATACAATTTAATTTAATTTCTTTATTGAAGAGAATAAAGAATTGTTCTACCATTTGAACTTTCAAAGTAAACATTTTCTATATTTTCCTCCCAAGGTTCACAAGTAACAGGTTTCAAGCTACAAAAGATATGAACAATGAAGTAACAGCAAAGGGCCTGAGGGAAACTCACACGACATTTGTGCTGTCCTGAACTATCAACCCACATGAGACGAACCAGTGACACATCAGAGTCTAAGCCATCATTTAACTTTTGGGGCAAATTACTTTGTGAATTAACAACACCATTAGCTGAACTAACAACACCGTTAGCTGCACTAACAACACCGTTAGCTGCACTAACACCATTATTAGCAGAACTAATCTTGTAAAAGTGGATTGCATTTCGTGCAAAGATGTCCTTTGCAGCTTCCACAGCCTCAGGAATTGAGAGATCACCATCAATGCATGCATCACGAAGAACAGAGAAAACAACTTCACGGGACTTCTTAGCACCTGTGAAAGCAAACTCATAGTTTTAACCAGTGATCTTCACACCATATGAGTAAAGAGGTGGGAATTTTCAAAGACAATAAATGCAACAAAAAGCTAAACGATGTTCTCATTTTCCATATATAAGAATTTCAATCAATAGTTCAGTAGAATCAGGATATCAATTTGTTAGGTCTCAAAAGAATTTATAAACTTAATGGGGAGGGTAAAAACTCACATGGGGATGGTGGTAATATGCAAGAGAAAATAGGCAGAAGAAACTGAAATACCACAACAAAAACTCAAGTATAATCTTCAAATTTAGGATAATAAATGTTAACCAACCTAAGTAGAATGTTTCAGGAAATGCACAGCCATCGGTACTGAACATCATCTGCAATGCAAAGTGTACATTAAATGTCATGGCTAGAAGTCATTCTCTTGTAATTTACATGTTTCATTTGATAACTCTAAAGTTCGAGATGATTCTAATTCCATTATAGAGGATTCTTATACGCTTACAATTTACACATAACACGCGATTTATATTGTACTAGACACTAGTTCATAGTGCAGGGTAATTATACTTATACCTGGAAATTTCTATTCTTACTTTCTTAGTGAAATATTATTTGTATTGTTTATATTATACCTTATTTATTGGGGCCAGCTCTAACAGCTCTTTCATTGAAGAAATCATCCCATGTACACTAAGCTTTGGAATTGCCAACCCAAAATCAAGGTAGACCTGAAGGAGAAGATTGTGTTACCTGTCAGTGAACCTATAATCCACATTCAAATATTCTAATACCAAGACATTGAGTTCCAGAATGTTTGCCTGTGAGTAAACAGATGCTAGATATGATGCTTCCCTTGAGAATGGATAGGATGCATGTAAAAGAACAATTCGAGACTTCGAAAATCTCTTGTCCTCAAGGACTGCACGTAGAAGAAGAGGATTGGAAAGTCGCAAATCAAGATCTTTATCTCCAAAGCTAGACAACAAAAGAACAAATTAGTATACTAGATAAAAGTAAGAGATATTATCAAGCAGAAAATCATGGTGATATGTACCATGACAGCTATAACTAGAAAAAGAAGCTGCGTCTTTGACATTTAAGAGAAGTGTGGTAAATCCTAGGAGTGGACAAGGCACCAACTAAATTTCACCTTACTAACATCAGTGATGTGTTGAATATCAATATATGTAAAAGTATCAAACAATTGAAAACCATCCATTACCCTGTGTGTATCTGCATTCCTAAGTCATAGGATTGAGCAACTTCCAAACTTTGTAAGAAGATGTAGTCAATAAGATTTTTGTTTGCAATACGGACAGGCTTCCTAGCTGAAAGTATAGAATGGTGAGCAAGAATATCCTGAAACAGATCAAATTAAAACCTACCTGCATACTCTACTCACCAATCAACACTTGCCTCAGACCCTCCTCAGCATCCTGCTTAGTGACTTTGGTATTGATTTCTAGGCCACTGCGGTACGCAGCTATGCTTTTCAATCCAAAGATCTCACCAGCAACTGTAACAATATTGCTAAGGAATCCAGCTATGACATTATATTCTTATAAAGCTAAGAAGGCATTTTTTGTGTGTGTGGTGTGTGTGTGAGAGAGAGAGAACACATATAAAGGATATGATTTCAACTTTGAGACAAATGCTTTAGTAAATGAATCCAGTGTCCAAGAAGATCCATCAGCCAAGTCCTTCAGGGAACATCAAATTTAGATATAAGATAACATAACAAGAACGTGGATGACTTAGGGGAGAATATAAATACAATTGCAAATAGAAGGATGTAATTGGCAAAATATGCAATTGAACAATTGCATCTTCCTAAGTCCTAGCTAACAACACTAGCCTTTGATTTAGAGTTTTGCTGAGAATAATTTCCCCAACAAGATTTAATTTCTTCAACTTCGCTCATTTCACTTAGGCTTAACAATTGAGTAATGATCCCCCAAGATAATAGCATTCACTGTTCAGAAAAATTAAAGATAAGAGGAAAAGCACCAAAACTAAAGTATGCCCCTGAAGTTCCTAGAAGACCTTCACATGAATTACCAAGCTATAATTATAGGCACCAAGCAAAGCAGAGGACCTATCCCCATTTGATCAAGTTTGGTTCTCTTGGAAAGAAAATAGCTCTATGGCTTGCTATCATGCTCTGATGTCTTTGAAATCTATACATCCTAGGGACTATAAATATAAAAATTCCTTCAAATACTTTAGGATCTTATGTTAAAAAATAAATCACTTGTCAGTTTCTTCCTTCGTTTTTTTTTTTTTCTTAAAGTTATCCATGAGCACATGTATAGGCTGTTGTTTAACACTCAATTCAAAAAATCCAAACAGAAAGTTGTAATATAAAGTATAATTTAGATTATAAAAAAATAAAGTATAATTTAATTGAAAATTTTCTTTCTAACAAATACTAAGAAATCTCTACTAAAAGAATATTCTCAAACAGATTGTACTTAAGACATTCAAACGTTAATTTGCCAAAACACTTTAAACAATGCTGTAAATAAGTAAGAAGATGAAGCCTTTGGAATGAATGCACACATAATAGAAGGCCATATGCAAAACTACTGGTCTGAAATGAACCTTGTAAAACACAACATTTTTTGTCTCATACTTTCAAAGCTTCTGTTTTTTTCTTTAATCTTATAAAATGCTTGCATACTATTTTCAACAATACATAAGGGATTTGAATATGTTACCTTCCTCCCTGCATAACTAATCATGTGGAATTAAACTGTAACATTAAATAAATACCATAATGAATTTTTCCCTGTTAAATATTGTAATAAACTTTCAGCAAGCAATGAGAAAACATAGCCTATGAAAAGAGAAAACTAAGTAGATTACATGGTTACCAATAGAAGTAAAAGAAAGAGAACAATAAAAGAGGCCTAATAATCATGGGAATGCAGATTAAAAGTAAATGTACTTAGGTATCTCACCCCATCAAGGATTTCCTCGGCCAACTGTTCAATTCTTAAGATCCTACCAACATGAGGTGTATAACTCCTATGCCACTCTATATCATGCTTTTTGTCCAATTCTAAGCCATCATCAATAAGTATGGAAGTGATTCTTGCAGCTTTGAAGCATGTCGAGCAGATAGATTGCATTCCAGAGACTCTACGGTATTCTTCAACAGCTTGCAAAGATAGCTTGGATCCATAGAGCTCAGCAATATCTCTTAAATTTCTCTGACATTACATAATAAGCTGTCATAATAAGATTCCAGACAGAAAATATTGAAACTTGAAAGCTGAAAGTTCTTCAAACAAAAATTTTAGAGAAGAAGTTGAGCTGTAAACTAATGCACATTAAAGAACTTCACGAGTTAGCCTTCATGCTGCAGGCACTTCACAGTTGCTTACACAATTTTATAAAATATTGTTTAAAACAAAATGAGGTTTATGTTTTGCTATGTATGAACAGAAGATGGAGATTCATTTTACTTTTTGTTTATCACTAATGAACTGCATAACTAAATTAATCTAATCTTAGCATTAATTATTTTCTTTGCTCAGTATTGTTACTGCAAAATTCAATCACCCTAAAGAAGCAAGTAAACAATCTAAACCCCGAATGATCAACTAAATGCAGTATTTAACTCCCAAAGTTAAATCCTTTAGAATGTGTCAACTATCCACTCCATTTCACAAAAATATGGCATCGTGCAATAACCTTGTCCACAAGAAATACATAGGTAACCGCTGAGAGAAGAAGGTTCACACTCCAGACACACTCACTTCATCTCACATTTACAACAAGTGAAATCATAACAAGAAGACCGAAACACATTGGTACCAGAAAAATATTCTATCAACGCTAGTTCGTTCAGCGTGTTATATATGGGTGCACAATATTTTTAATGAAAACTTTATTTTTATCCACAATACTTGTACTGAATCCAAATATTCATCTTGTGATGGTTTAACATCGGCTGAAAAGTGAAAACTAACAACCGGAACTAAAACATAAAAATTAATCATGTAAGGACTATAACCTATATTTAGAGAGCAAAATGAAAAGTGATACATGAAATTAGAGTTGTCAAAATAAGCTAAAATCCGTAAACCAACTCGGTCTACCAAGGGCTTGAGTTGGGTTGGGCTAAGATTTTTTTTATCCATTTTAGTTGTAAGAAAAAATTGACTAAACCCACTAAGATTGGATTGATCCACCTAATATTGATACTATTTATTAATATTTCATATAACAACTTTGATATTATAAGTTAATTAAGTTAGTTGTGGTTGATGTCTATTTTTTTATATTTTTTTTGGTTCTATTTTTAACATAATTGTAATTCTAAAACATAAAACTATAATATGCAATTTCTTATAAAGTTTAATATTTTTTATTTTTTTTAGAATTTAAGTGAGTCAACCCATTTAACTCAACTGTGATGAGTCACTCATCTTCCTTATTAAGGCATGGCTAACTTCCAACAAATGATTTCTGATTGTGATCTTATTGATGCAAGTTTCCAAGAGTACCCGTTTATGTGTATTTCTATATAAAGAGGTACTCTTCAAGTTTGAAGACTCTTGGATTACACATGAGGATTTCCAAAGGTTCCTTTGTTCATAGTGGAATCTCTCCTTATCCTAGTGTGAGCACCTTAAAGTCTAAAATTTTCTAACCGAACCTGGCCCACCACAGGTTGGTGGGTTAAACGGGTTGGCCCACCAACCCACCTAATTTTAAAAAAAAAAAATATTCTAATTTAAAATAAATTACAATCTAAAGTAAAAATTGTGAAACTAAGTATCATGAATACAACATTAAACTTAAATTAAAAATTTAAAACTTTAAATAATCAAAAAAATAAAAATAAAAATCATTTTATGAGAGTGATTATTCATCGATATTAAATTTCATTGGGGGCTTGAATAGATAAATTTATAGCAATTTTATGTTGTTTAACATTGACTTTATCTTTATCTACAAAAAATAATGGTATCTTGTTTAAATAATACATATATAATAATAAATGATTAAGTGGGTTATTAGTGAGTTAGTTAGGTTGATGGAGGTGTAAGTGTGTCAGGTGGTGGGCCGAATTACATTTTTTGACCCATTATGATTTTTTTCATTTTTTTTTTGCCTGGCCCTACTCGTTTTTAAGGTGAGTCGAATTGGTCCACGGGTCAAAATTCACTTTGACGGCTCTGGGTAGTATGGATTGATATTGTGTCAATGTCAAGTAAGTATAATTAGAACAAATTCTAGTTCCCACCTTGAGTTGCATGTTTAATGGTAAATGGTTTTACCTTCGTATTTAACATAGTCAATGTCCGGTAAGTATAACTATAACTAATTATAGTTTCCTCCATAAAGTCTTGTGTGTCTTAGGGTAAGTATCTTTACCCTTAGTATGTATATAAGTTGAGATCATTAAACCTTCACTCCTTTGTTTCTCTTTTGTGCATGTACTTGATGGATATACTAAAGATAATTGTCAAGCATAGTGACCAAGTTGATTTAACAATACAAATATCGAGAGGATTGTGAAGACCATTAGGAAGATACGACGCATAAAGACTATTTTTACCTATACTTGTGTTTGGGTTAAGATAACATTTTTATACTACTTTAGTTAGGTTTTATTATGTATGGGTGGGAATAGTTAATATGTGTATTTACTGTATCTGCTATGATAAGAATTTGTATTTATATTTAAAAGATCATGGTCCTTCATATTTTATGTAGGGGTGTAAGCAGGTTGAGTTGAACCAAGTTTGGATGAACTCATTACCCAACCCAATCAAAATTTAATGGGTTGGGTTAGGTTGAGTTTGTGTAAAAAAATTTAAAAACTCAATCCAACCCAACACAATCACAAACATATTGGGTTGATTTGGGTTAATCGGGTCAATATAATTAAATTTATTTATTTTTGTAAAAATTTAAATATTTCAAAATAAATGTAATCATTTGATACATTGTTGTGAATATAATGTTATCAACCTATAAAGTAAACAATGATACAAATTTAATTTTAAAATAAATTTATTAATTTGTTGCATTATTATCAACTAAAAAAACTATTAATTAATACAAAAATAAAATTTAAAATAAATATATTATATTGTTACAATTCTACCAACCTAAAACACAAACTCCTTACTAACTAATAGTGATAGTGTATATTGTCTTAAACAAATGATCATTCGAACACTATTATTATTATTATTATTATTATTATTATTATTATTATTATTATTATTATATATGACCGGGTTGGGTCGGGTAACGAGTTGAAAACACAATCCGTTACCCGACTTGTACAATGTCGAATTTTGGTTGGATTAGATTGGGTCTGACCAAAATATTAAAAGAATCTGATTTGAACTCATTGAATTGATTTGAGTCAATTCAGATTTATGAGTTACCCATATCTACTTACACCCTTAATTTTATGGTGATAATATATTTTAATAAATACAAAATATATATATATATATATATATAGAGGAGGGTTCAAAC